TTATATATAAACGTCGATAATACTGAAACGGGTAACATCTGTTCATCGATATATTGACAAACATCGTTACGAGTAACGGCGAACTTGAGTGGAAGTCCACCAGAATTCCCTATGATAGTATAGTTCTTTTTTTTGAACCTAAACTGATAGTAAAAGAAAGAAACGGTGTCTTCTTTTTCTACGAAATTTTGTACGATTTTTACCCCCTTTTTTTCTTCCTTGTCTCTCTTTGTAAGTTATCCCACCTTACCCCAGCCCGCAGGCAAATTTTATTCAAAGTTCAATAATTTTTGAGATTCGCGAATAACACTGCGAGGACATCTTTTTGAACGACGAGTGTCTCATCATTTACTTCTATTCTTTTTTTCTGATAGATCTCAAATCGAAACGAATGCTAAAAATAAGAAAATTCTTTAAACTTTCCTTTTAAGTTAGACTCAAAAAAGCGTCTATCAACTTTTTCTTTTTTTGTTTTATTGCAACTACGACAAATGAAAACGCTTATCTCGCATGATTTTCTCACCTCCGGCTGTTTCTGTCATATAAGAATCTTTTAATTTTTTTATAATTTATTTACATATTTAAAAAGTTTGCCGTGTATCTTCGTTGATAGATGAAATAAAATTTCGGACCGATAACGACAGCAAAAATTAATTTACCAATGGAATTGTCGAAAGATTTCGATCAACGTGTACGACCAATTTTTTTTTGTTCATCATATTTCGACGTTATCGTTTCGTACAATATACTATATAATAATAACAATAATAATAATAATAATAATAATAATAATAGTAATAATAATATCGTCATTTCGAAAGTATATTCCTTGTGCGTGAGAAAATACATAAAAATGTGAATGGAAAGGAAAAATAAAAATATAAACAGAAATATACACACTTCACGATGCGTTTCGCATGCTTGAGAAATAAAAATGAATGATCTCTAACTAACGTAAAGAAAACAAAACAAAACAAAAAAAAATACTATCCCCATTCATTCACCGACAAAGGAAATAAAATCATCAAGGTTTTGTCTGTCAACACAGTTCGGTGCAATTGATTCGAGCAAAACTAACTTCACGAAAAAAACATTTTCTTTTTTTTTTGTTTTTTTGTCTTTTCACATCGACAATTTCAGTGATTACACATCATTTGACGCTTTTAATGACGACATATCATCATAATTAAAAAAAAAAAAAGCACAGTCTTATGCGAAAGAAAACAATACGAAAAGGATAATAATAGGCTGATATAGAAGGGTGGAGAAAGGGGGTAAGAGGAAACGACTACGAACAAAATAAGTCATTTAATATAACAGTGTCGCAGCCATAGCTCGGTTGTATGTATATTCGCCAGGTACCCTCTCTCGCATCATCATACTAACGCAAAATATCATCATGGTCATGTATAAAGCCTCGAACAAAGAAAACAAAAGGAATTATCACTAGCTTACGATTTAATTTCATCGTCAAAAAAACCCCACCCCTCTTGTGCTATCGCCGCGCCACTGCGTGCACGTGCGATTGGTGGTTATATGCTGCTGCTTTAAATGTGAATATGTGCGCTTTATAACAGGGAAAATGTATGCTTTAATATAATATAAGAGAGATATAGACAATATAGAAGAGATAGAAAGAAAGAGAGAGAGAGAGAGAGAGAGAGAGAGAGAAAGATAGAAAAAGAGTATAAGAGTAAGAGAGAAAGAGAGCAAGGAAATTAACGAAGGACGAGGACGAAACCGTAAGAAATTCGACTTAATTTCCTCCTCGTTAAATCGTATCGAATTTTGAATTTCTAAATAGCGATAGAGCAGTTGTGTCAAAATTGAGAAAATGTTTAAGTGAATTTGTTGAAGTTGGATGCGTTTGAAGATAATTATAATAAGAAAGGTGTAAGACAACAAATTTTTTGTGATTCATAGAAATTTTGCGAATTCGTAGAATTTAATTAAATTTAATTAATATTTTATTTATTTAATTAATTTGAATAAGTAAATGAATAAATTATTTAATTAAAATAATTTTAATTAATTAGAACAAAACGTAACTCGACGATAAAAGACAGGCGTTAAAAAATGTGTGAAATAACACCATGGTATATAGGAAAAAAAAAAAAAAGAAATAAACATACCGGAAATAATATAACACGTGCTTTTAGTTGAAGATAAGAAAAATTCTCTNAATACCCCATTCCCTTAGCGCGTGCCTCAGCCTGTGTTTCTCGATAAGGAAACAGAAATATAGAATGCATTCTATGTATGTATACGTGTGTGTATATATATATATATATATATATATATATACGTGTGTGTCCACCCCCTGGTTCGAAGGGTTCTTTTCTTTAATCTTTTAGCCATAGAAATAAAATCTCTTGGCAAACCTGCTTTATTCGGCGCATACGATGCTCCCCTTTTATTTTTTTTTTATTTTTTTTTCTATCCCTCGAGGTCCAATAGAGGAAGAACTTTTTCTTTTACGAACACAAAACACATACACACACACACACGCGCGATAGGAAAGAGTCCTTGGATGAAGCTTACGCGCTTGGTTGTCAAGTACTTTGTGGAAATATGAATGGAAGGGCATCGAAAGGTTAAATGTCTCACCTTTTTAACATTGATTTATAAACGATCGACGCACGTTCCTTTATTATTTTTTTTTCTCACTAAAAATATCCATATGAAAAAATAACGAAACAGTGAAATTATACGAGAAAGTGGTGCCGTGCCGGCCGGCGTGCTCTCGTGATAATGCAATGCAATTTTGGTTTTCTTTTTTTTTTTTTTTAGTCACGAATTGACGACGACTCACGATCGATTCGACGAGAATGAGAAAAACATATTTGAAGAATACATTTATTTTTTGTTTTTGTTTTGTTTTATTACCATGTTAAAATAACCCATTGCAAAAGAGTTTTTCTTCGCGTGACTTTACACTTTACCTGCCACCATGAAACACGCGCGCAAAATCGATCCCAAAAAAAGAAAAAAAAATAGATCGAACGAATTAGCTTAACGGAGAAGATAGAGGGGAGGATAAAAAAAAACACAAAAGAAAAAAAAATAGACGTTAGTCGATTCAAAAAGGTATAAGAACAATGCATTCGAAGTCAATTAAGTTTAAAAAGCCATTTTCTTAATTACCGCGAAACGACTAAATCTCGGTTCTATTATCTAAAAGTAATAATTCGTCGAACTCGATCGATCATCGTTCGCTTCACGAGCTTCCTCTTATTGCATCGTCGTTTAAAGACGACGTCACAATGAAGAAATAGATAAAAGAAATCTAAATGAAAACCGACATGTATAAACTGACTATGGTGCAGTGGCTGACGAGCAAGAAGAGGGTTTATTATCGCTAATTACGTTCAAACAACTCGGATACTCTCGTGAATCGTGAAAACGCGTTTAGTTTGTAAAATATAATCTTTCACATTTCGTTCTTAACATTATACATTTCTCGATAAGATAAAAAGATAATCTATTATAATTTAAATCTACACGATTGACACGCGAATCCACGAAAAACGTAGCATCCGGAAGAACGATGAAATAAAAAAACGTGTAAGGTGCTTTAATAGTAGCGCACGCGACTTTCCTGCGATCAACGGGGTGGGTGGGGGGTAAATGTAGGCGAGGTAAAATCCCAAAAACCAAAAATTCAGAAGAAGAGATCCTATTGATCAAGATCAATGCGGATTTTGACGAGGGTACCTGAGCCACACATGGGCCGAGCTGCTCGCAACTGCATTGCTGTTTCGCTCGTTAGCAGGGCTTTCCATCCAGTTCGTCGATCGCACCTTCCTGATTGGTCAGATATTTATCAGAAACGGTACGACCTGATCTTTCTCATCCGTTCAACGTACGTGTTTGTTTGTTTGTTTTTTTTTTTTGTTTTATTTCTTTTCAATTGATTTTCTTTACGTGTACGTATATGTATGTATATGTTGGTAGATTTTCGTGATTAAGCAGCGGTTGCCAAAAGTGTTGTTTTTTATGGGATTTATTCAAAGAAATTCTCATCAATAATTGACTGCATTTTCCATAGAATTTGAATTAAAATATTCAATGCAATGCATTTTCTTTGTTAAAAATAGAAATCGTTTGATTGGATCGCACGAGACCAACGAGTTCCAACTATCATCTCACGATATTATCTTTAAAGTCCTTCTTGTCTAGTTTTATCTCGACTATAGGTATATACATCTTGTAAACTTTAGCCCTCTTGTCTCTTTTCTTACATATGATGTATGTACATATATTCGTAAGGAAAGGCGGTCGAGACGAGACAGGCTCGTATTGGATGACGGTCAGTAGTTTCGTGACAAAAGACCTTATCCAACGAGATGAACAACAGCTAGAACACTCTATACGAATTTTTCGATTTACCGTGTCTGTGATTTATGTTTAAAGCTGTCGGAGTAAGACCCTTTCTTTTTTTTTTTTTTTTTTACTTGTCGCTAGCACTCAGAAATAGCCCATGAAAATAAAGCGTTCCCGTGTCGACGTAATGTTATGCAGCTCGATAAATCTGTGACTTATATTTATGAATCCCATCGAGATTTCTTCAAAATACCTAGCTTAGACATCCAACGAGCTCACCATAAATCTTTTCCACGTGTATCTAGGAAAATATTGATTCTATAGGAATAACATCGTCTTCGTGTTAGAATAGATCATCATCATCATCATCATCAACTACGTTTCATGTTCAATCCCAATAAGAGATCATCTTTTTATATCGCTTACGAATAACATGTTAAACCGATATGAAAATTATATTATTATACCTAAACCCGACGAGGGTCAAAGGGCACGATCTTTAAATATAATTTAAAGAGAGGTACGTTCTATTTACACGTTGGCCTAAAAAATAAAGTCAATGAAAAGTAAACCGTGCGAAGAAAGGGAACGCTCGATGAAAATCCATTAAACGCAGGCCTTGTCGGGGTAGATGTTTAAACCGGAAGTGTACGTGAAATGAAAGTACACGAGGTTGGAAGAAGAAAAATAATACAAGGGTTGAAGGAAGGAAGAAAAGTGGAAAAAAGGGAGAAAGACAAAGCTAGAAAAGGAAGGAAAAGAAAAAAAGTGAAAGAGAAAAAGAAAACGAGGGTGAAGTTGTAAAGAGAAAAGGGAAGGGGAAAGGAATGCGAGGAGGAGAAGAAGAAAGAAGAGGTAGTAGAGGGGTGAATTGAGCGATGCAGCCTGTGCACCTAGGTTTATTATAAACGGCCTCCTTTTTTCCCTCATTTCGCAACACGGTCAAGTGGAGCATCGCGTGATACAAAATAATTTGCACCGTTGCTTTAAAAGGAACAACTTCGCGTACCAACGACTGACCATGCGCACGAGATATTTCAAATATAAGAGAATCGAGAGAAAAATCGTTGGACGATAAAAGGACAGTTTTCGCGTCAACGCGTTTGGCTAATCGGTCCGTGCTTTAAACGGTTTCGTGTTCCGTTTTATCCCCCGTTCCCTTTTTTCCCTTTTCCCTTTCCCCTCTCGTCCCTTCCCCATCTACCTAACCCCCACGATCGATGCTCCGATATTTATTCCCCGTTTTACTGTCCAGTTTACTACCACCACCTCCCTTCGGAATTTTTTGTTCAACGTCAATCTGTCACGTTGTGTCCCTAAGAAAGAAAATTTTGTCCATTTTTATCATGAAATTATCGGAAACATGCTCGATTGTAACTGAGAACGGAGAGAGAGAGAGAGAGAGAGAGAAAGAGAGAGAGGGTCGATAACATATCGATCGTAGTGTCGATGACCGGCTAGTAGGTAAAAGCCAACCGTACTTCCTCGAAACTATAACTTATTTCGAGCCTAACACATTTTTAGTTCTCTTAACTCTTTATTTCAGAACAACAAAAAAATAACAAACTGTTATTCTTCTTATTTTTTTCAATAAGATCAAATTTGTTGACTTTACTGTTTACACCTAGTCTATGGACTAATTCGATTGACACCTAAGCATTTATGAAAATCCTTCATTTTAACTTGTGCTACCTTTCGAAGCGATTACGCAAAAGTTATTAACGATCGATATCGGAAGGGAAAACGATGAGTTAGCACATTTCGCCAGTTATAAGCGGTTGTGTTCATGAATAATGCATTTACAACGCGCCCATGTATACGATCTAACGTTAAAACGCATATTACTAGCCTCGAATAAACGCATGAAAAGCTTGTGTCACCCTAATGACTGTGTATTATCGAATATCTGCTTGAGAACAAAAGTAATTATCAAAATAATAAAAGAAAACCTATTAGAGAAAGATAAGTTCTTTCTCGTTGTTCTTTCAACAAATTTGAAGCATTCAAAAGTTGAAATAATGAGAAAAAGCTTGCTGGGGTTCATTCATTCCTTATTTCTCAGGATTAGCTCTTTCTCTATCTAACTTGTGAGCTTCGGTGTCCTTGTCGGCCAGGTTCCAAAGTACCAAACATCGAAATAATTCTTGAAGCACGTAGTTACGCGGCATGCGGATATGCTAGGTAGGTACATCCGCTTGAAATCTACGAACCACCACCGTCAGGCGTTGTGCCAAAAGCTCGACAAGTTTCTAGACGTACTCAATTAAAAGTTCGTCCCCGTACAAGAGAGATAGAGAAAGAGAAGTCCCGTGTTTTCTCATCCTACGATAGCTTTCGCACGATTGACTACTACTACGAATCCTCTAACGCATGTTTCTCACCCCACCCTCATCTTTCAAACGAATTCACCTTATTTCTCTTTCACAAATGGCTAGAATATTTTGATCATAGCGATCGATTATAAAAATCTACGAAGCTTAACCGTCTTGGATCGTCAGCCAATTTCTTATGATCCTTGGAATTCACGAAGCTTTTTTAGTCTTACCAAACTTGGATAGTATCTCCTCTCTACTCTATTTGATTTTTTTTTTTTTTTTTTATCTTTACGCTCTTTCGATTTCACTAAATCCCCGAGTCTGACGGTCGTGAAATTAAACTGATATACATATATATATGTATATATTATATATGTAAAAAACCTGAGACTAGTTTTTGAAAAGTCTCGTTGAAGAACACTTTTGGCAACCGTATTTGAAAAGGGTCGTTTGTCACGCGCAATGAATAAATTAAATTCGTTCGAGTTTTTATTATTTTTTTTTTTTTTTCTATATTAATTATCATTTTGTTACGTTTATATTGAGTGTAAAAAAAGCTCGTGTACGTGTAACTCGCGATAAAAAGAATTATTATAAAATTGTACAATTTATAAAAGCACGCTTTATGTGTGATTATAGGTATAATGATATTATTTTCTCTTTTATTTTATTTATTCTTTTTCTTTTTGTTTTTTTTTTTATAAAGCAGCAATAAACACTCGTCACTCACCGAAAGGTCGTTCCAATCGACAGTCTATTAGAAGAGAATGACCGGTCGGCTTTTTTGTGCCAACGATTTCGGCACCCCTCATTTCGAGCTCGGAATCCAAGGCGACCCACTGTCCAGAACCCTCCTGAAAAATAAACGTACAAAAATGTGAGATATAAATTTGTGAGATTCCATTAGCAAACGATTATCAAAGAACGAATAAACTTGTCATCATAATAAAAAGCTAGATAAAGCATTGCTAAGTTTATCTTAAAATATACTAAATTTAAATTAACTTAAATAGAAGACATTTGACATAAAAATATGATCCAATTTGTGATTAATGTTATATTATAATAACTGAAATATCTAACGTTCAAACTTATTATTTGAAATTAAAAAGATTACTGTTAATCGTCAATGCAGATTGGCGAATAACCGTAGTGTTTGCGAATAACGTCGAATATAATTCATCGAACCGATCAAATACAATAGAGGAACGTCTTGTTGATTTACGATACTGTTGACATTTCATACGTGTGTGTAGATATTTAAAGTACTTCCAGAGTACCTAATTTTATTCGTGATCATTTTTCGATCATCCTTTCGACCAGTTAATTCGTATTCGATAAAAGAGTAAACAATTGAATACAATAATTCATTCTACGACGAATGAATCTTTTCCTTCCGCAAATGATCAAGTTTTGATAAGTTGCTACTAAATTATTAATAACATAGAACGATAATATATGTTAAACTATGAAAAGAAAAATATTCTTTTGCGATATAAAACTCAACCATGCTAGCCGGTATAAATTTTTTATTCGAATAATGTAAAAAGGTAACGAATAATAAAAAAAAAAAAAAAAAAAAAAACAAATGCAAAACTCCGTTAATAATATGTCATTAAATTTATTCGCAATTATTAATGTGATACTTTTTTTTTATTTACCGTATTAACATATTCGCACCTTCAAACTAACTCGACCCGTATTTCCGTCTGTCGAGAGAGAGAGAAAGAGAGAGAGAGAGAAAGAGAGAGAGAGAGAGAGAGAGAAAGATCACGTATGAGAAATCGTAGAAGGCGTCAGGGTCGCTAAATTATAATTCCATGTGTGGTATATAAAGTATCAAAGATAGATGTCCTTGAAAGAACACGAAACGAAAAAGAAAATCGAGATCAGGTTGATCGAGGTTCTCTCTTTTCCTTTACTTTTTTTTTTTAAAGGTACCTGATTTTGCACCTGTTGTACCCTGTATTAAAACCTCCCCCCTGTAACGTCTAGAGAAAATATTTTCTCTCTTTTCATTATTTCCGACGGACGTAACACGCGATCGTACGTCGACGAGGGCACTCGACGTCTTAATGAATTCCTTTCAATTATTTCTGCCCCACTAATCCGATTCCATCACGAAAATAGACGACGACGTTCTCGTTAGAGAAAACGGCGAATTGTAAAAAGCAACCAAAAAAAAAAAGAAAAAAAATACTGAAAAACAAGCTCGTAAAACGTTAAAAGCTTAAATAGAAGTTAAGCTGTGAAATATACGATAACTGGGATAAATCAAAAAGAATTTGTTCTTATCTGAAAATGAATTTCTTTTATTATTCTATTAATCTTAGCGGTATCTTTTGATAATATTTTTAACAGTTTTTAACAATTGATACAATAGAGAAAAAGAAAATAATAAACTTGGAGTGATAGACGGAGATCAAAATTTTGAACTACATCCTTGTAATATCAAGGATAATTCAATTTTCGTATTAAACCACTGTGCAGAAGAAAAAACAACAAAAGGATTATAATATATCCTTCAAAAAAAAAAAAAAAAAGGATTTTGCACATTAAGAATGCAAACGATCCAAACGAAAATTAGAAGAAATTATTTGAGAAATAATTTAGCTACCGGCAAAGAGATCACACACAAGTTTGGTGAATGCAATTACAAGAAAAACATGTAATTGCACCTTATTAGGATAATTTCAGTTTCTTTTTGTATTTTCTTTCTAATAATCGATAAATTATTTGCAATAATTACGATTAATAATCAGTTGAAGAAGAGAACCCACGTCTTGAATCGATCGATTACTTTTCAACAAATTATTTTCCATCAACATTTAGAAGTTTTTCTTATAGTCTACGTTCAAAAGCTAATTAAAGAGAGGACTCGCAATATTCGATCGAGGATGTTCGTCGATCCTCTCGAATTGGAATTAATTCCAGCCTATTACAAGGTAGGTGAATTGAGTTAGCGATATAGGTGTGACGTGTGGTCTCCCCCATCTGATTTCAATCCGTCTCCATGCAACCGAGCTCAATTATCGTCTTGATCATACAAGAGAGAGAGAGAGAGAGAGAGAGAGAGAGAGTGAGAGACTGAGTGAGTGAGACAGAGAGAGAAATATAGAAAAGTCTGAGCGAATCGATGAAAGAAAGAAAGAATAAGAAAGAGAACAAGAGAAAACAAGAACTTCCAACCACCCTCCTAAGTTCGATATGCATCGTAAGAAAATAAACGAAACGAGAAAGTCATTTGCATTTTTATCTCGTATATCGAAATATACCATTTTTCTATGAATTTTGATTTTTGTATTATTTATAATACTAATCAATAAATTAATCTTATATATTTCAACCTACTTTACGTCATAATACACATATATATTTAAATATAATATGTTATATATATATTACATATTGTAATAATAATATGTTACATATTATAATTATTTATTATATATATTTATATATTGTAATTATATATTAAATATATTATATATTTTAATTAAATATATAATGTTTAATATTTTATATTTAATATATATTTAAATGATATATTATATATAATAATTATTTATTTTTATATTTATATTATAATTATATATATATATATATATATATATACTATACTTTATATGTATTTGTTATAATTTATTTATAATACTAATCAACGAATTAATTTTATATTTTCCAACCTACTTTACTATGTTTTATATATATTTATGCAACCAATTTGAGTTTATATTTGATATAATTCTAAATGAATATGTATATAACAAATTCGCGAATAGATTTTGTTTAATGTATAATGTAAGGAATTGATACGTAAAAAATTGTGCCGATCAATAAACATTTTAACGGGTTTGAAACGTTTTAAACGTCGATAATATCCGACCGAGTCACGAGACGACACAATTATTAACATCTCTATAAATCCCACCCTTTCATTCTTTCGCACGCGCGTTTCGACCCCTTTTCAAGATTTATACTTTTTTTTTTTTTTTTGTTCCAACAACTTCCTCGTTGGTAGCGCGTGCTGGCTCGGCGTTCTCACGCCATCTCATAAAATTGAACGAGGACAAAAAGAGAAATACGAGAGATAGACGAAAACTTGTAGAGAAAGAGAGAGAAAGAGAATGAGGAAACACGAGAGAATGAAGGAAAGAAAGAAAAAACTTGAATATACTCGCGGAATAAGGGAAGACGCCCCCGTAATTAAACATGCGACAAAACAATGATTCAACCTGTCATACTATTCGCAAATGATTACGAATATATCTCGTGAATTTGTCAAGCTGAAAGGACAAATACTATGACGTTTATTTCCTTCTATATAACGTGACAGAATATACTATAATAATTATAGGAATAGGGTGGTGGGTGGTTGTCATAATAGCAGCCTATATCTTCTATCTCTCTCTCTCTCTCTCTCTCTCTCTCTTACTCTAAATGAAATTAAAATAACGCGAGAGAACGTTCATCAATTTCTTAGAACAACGAATAGAATACTCGACTCGATTCTATCTTATAAAAATCATAACCATTGCAAGCTTTTCTAAAAGGGGTGGGTAACGGATTGGGGGTGAATGGATAACGATTACGTACGAAAGATTCGTGATATCAAAAGAAGAAAGACGCATCTAATGACGCACTTGCAGATTCATGAATGAGATGATACTTATTCGTTTTCACATTCTTCTTCATTTTTTCCACAACGTTAAGAAATGAACGATTTATACATCGATGAGAAAGAGAGAGAGAGAGAGAGAGAAAGAACGTTAGAAATGGGGAAGATAAATAATAGAACGGAAATATGATAGTAGGATCGATCGTAAAGTGCAATCCTGACGGGACCTTTTTTCATAGTTCTCAGTATGATACGCGACTGGAGAATCGTCAGCAGAATCGTCAGCATAAAATGAAAAATTCCCATCTACACGTTAGAAATGATTTTTCGATCTAACCTGCCATCGAAACTACTACCATCGAAGATCATAATCGAGAGTTGAAATAAATCGATATTCGTAAAACACATACGTTTTACTAAAGTCATTTTTTATTATTATTATTATTATTTTTTCATTCAAGTTTCAAAATTGAAGAGATTTTTTTGTTCACGTTAAATTTCGATTCTTGTCTGATTTTAATGACAAGAGAGAAGAAGAAGAAGAAGAAGAAGAAGAAGAAAAATGGTTAGGCAAAATCTTTGGGTTGGGTGAAAAAAAGTATGGCCACCCATTGAAAGATTACTCTCGAGCGAGCTTTAAGTCGGTAATGAAAATGCAAATTTAGGTAGGTAAGTCCTCCTGGATGGTGTTAAAATGAGCGAGAAGAAAAGGTCGGATCTTTACTGTACGTGTCACTTTTTCTTTTCGTTCTCTCTCGAGACGTTTTTCTTATTTTTAAGAGAGAGAGAGAGAGAGAGAGAGAGAGAAAGAAAAGTTGACGGAAATAATACAATGATAGAAGATTATCGACATATTATACTTTCAGTTAACAAAATTATTCAATTATCATAGAATATTAGATCTAACTTTTGTAATATTTATCCTGACCGAGTTTCCGTTTAAAAAAAAAAAAAAAGAAAACAAACAAAATAAAAAATTCATACCAAGTATACACAATAAAAAAGCACGGATGTAAAGAGAAAAAAAAAAAGTGGAGTTTCTGTAAAACGAATGTCGACTAAATTGTAAAAAGATTGAGAAGTATGTATAGAATTAAAAATATAAATGTAGGATTTTCATTTTTTGGATACAAAGAACGTTTTTCCAAAATCAAGTTTATTCACATAGTTGTCACGATGAAATTCAATTCAAACTTGTACCGAGTGTAACAAACGAATTTTAGCAAAGGAACGTAG